TGCTTTTGTAGATTCTGTCACTTGAAAAATGGGACTGTTATGTGTGTGTGTGTTGTGTACTCAGTTGTGTCTGACTCTTTGCAGCCCCATGGACTATAGCCCGCCAGGCTTCTCTGTCCAGGGATTCTCCAGATAAGAGTACTGTAGTGGGTTGCCATTTCCTCCTCCAGGGAATCTTCCCGACCCAGGGATCGAATTCTCTTGTGTCTCCTGCATTGGCAGGCAGATTCTTCCCTGCACCATCTGAAGCCCTGGAACTGTAATATCAAGTAGTAACAAGTTTGGATAGATTTGAAAGGGAAAGATTAGTATAGGACACTTCAAGTACTGTTAGCTGAATGGCAAGGTAACAGTTGTTAGGGAGGGATCCTTGTGCCCAGGGGAACATCAGAAGAAATTTAGGCAATTAGGACTTTAAGGGAAAGTGCTAGAAGATGAAACATACTAATGGAAGTCAGGGAGATGGAGCCCAAGCCTGGAAGCTTCATCTTTTGCATGGATCCTTCAACTTAGAGGTGAAGAATGACAAAAATAGTTTGCGCAATGGCTTTTTTTGATGGACGCAGAAATCACTGTCCTTCTCCCAATATTGGAGATTGCACACAAGAAAAAGTGTAGAGGAATAAGTTAGAAAATAAGAAATGTGGGCAAAAAAGCAAAGAAATAAAATGAAGAATGGCATCAGATTTCAGCCTAAGTTCCAGGCTAATAATATGTGGTAAAGAAGAGGAACTAATTTAAGAATCAGAGTAAATTGTTGAAAACTCAGGCTGAGTCTTTCTGAAAGAATTAAGGGAAACCATGGAGGGAAAGGAAAAACTGAAAGCATATCCCACTGCTTGGGGCCTGGGGATGGGACATGGGGTGGGGCGTATACACAGGTCGTGAGGAGCACGAGATGGAGGTATTGGTCCTAGAACTCTAGAGGCACAGGCTTCAGAAGTAACTACAGCCTCTTCCACTTTGGAATCTCTTGAGTGCTTCTCCAGCTGAAATGATGGAGGCAGGAAGGAGAAATCTAGACTCAGCAGTTGTTAACCATCAAATCTCACCTGTACATGTACATCACATGGGGAATTTTTTTTAATGGTTGACTTTTTTTTTCTTTATTATACTTAAAAAAATTTAAAATTGGAGAATAATTGCTTTACATTGCTGTGGTAGTCTCTGTCACACATCAACACGAATCAGTCATATATGTCCCCTCCCTGATGAGCCTCCCCCACAGAGGGAATTTTTTTTTTTTAAATTCTGATGCCTAGGTTGTACCCAGACTAGTTAAATCAGAGTCTTGGAAAAAAAAAAAAAAAGAATCCTGGGGCTCAGTATTTTTTACGGCTCTCCTGGCCAGTCCAACTACTGTCTTAAGAGCAGTTTCACTGGCCTAGGCAACTCCTTAGTGAAAGGCAGTGACAGCAGCTCCTGTAGTACAGGATTAAAAATACCTGCTCCAAAGAAGTGGGGGAGGTTGAATCACTAAAGACATCACTTTCGTTTCAGCACTGGGGTGCCAGAAAACACAGTCTTAAAGGGGAAATAGAAATGAAGTTTTTAAGATATGCTGGACAGTAAAGAAAGATATGCTGGAGTAAAACTGGTAACTGGGCTTCCACTGTTTGAAATTTCTGCACTTTTTGAGAAAGGCTGGAGTGTTGCCAATGCTCCTGTCAGAGGGTGATAGTACACACAGGTAGATTTAGTCTTCACCGGAATATGAGGAATATTCTTATTGGGAGATTATTCTCATTTTGGGAGATTTTGTTCAAAATTGAGTTCACAGATCTAAGGAAGCGGAAACAGATTTTCAGTGTTTCAGATTTTTCTTTTTTTTCCCCTCTGGTATGATCTTTGGCTGATTTGTACCAAATATTAGGTTATAGCAACACATTTTTGCCTGGGACAGTGCTCTGGGAGTTGGCTTGGGCTTTGTGTTTTAATTTTTATTTTATAATGAAATAACTGAAAGAAGCATTCTTTCCATTATTTTCCCTTCTGGGGAATGAAGAGGAACTTCTCTCCCCTTTACAGAAATGTGAGGAATTGGAGGAAATTGTTACCCTACAATATTGATGTCTATACAGAGATTCAGTTGTTTTCCCAAAAACAAATTCTTCTATTCCCTTCATCATAACTGTGTGTGTTTTCAGCCTAGAATTTTAATGGTTGCACTCATTAACATGGTTTGAAAATTTGTATCCTTCCTTTACTCTCATTGTAAAAGTGTTTTGGGACAGAAAGAACAAAATGTGCAACAGAGCTACTTTTAAAAGGGAGTATCATCCTTTTTTTCCGCCTGCAAGTTCAGAATTTTTTCTATCTTTATTACTCTTTCTTAACAAGACACAATTTGAACTTTTTAGGTAGCAGAAAAAATTTAATTACATTGCCCTTTTAAAGAAGTATCATAATGAAACCTTTTACAGAGTTATTTATCAATTAGTCATAGTGATGCAACTATATGCTGTGGAGGAAAGAAGTTCTGTTCACAAGGAATTTTCACTGGAGTTAAGACAGTATCACCCAGGAATTAAAAGGGTCCTAACAACAATTTAATCATTTAGAAGCTAGGTCAGCAGGAAGCTAAAGTTTCTCAAAACTATACTTCTTTAAACTCTTGGAATGAAAAAAGTTTCTCCTGGTGGTACTTTCTGTAGTTGAGGTATTCCCCCCAAAATATTATGTGCAAGTTGAATATTTTGAAAACATTCTCAGTTGTTTTAAGAGCTCACTGTTTAAAGCACTGCAGATGAATCCTTTGCTAAAAAAAAGCTCACTTTAAATGGACTATTAGTAAATCTGGATTTTTATGCTTTTATGTTTAAACAAATCATGGCTGTAGGGTCTCAGGTATATATTTATTTAAAGGTATGAACTATTAATTATAACTTAACCTGACTTTAAAGGCATCACTATTTCTTGAGAATTATAGGGTTTGAAGCCATATAATACTTAAGTCAGTGACCCTGATGCTTAACACTATTTGAACCTTGTATTATGGTTTCATGTTTCTTTACCTTCTCTTTTCCCGGTGTTTAACATAGCATACTACTTCTGCTGGGCTTCTCAAGTGGCGCTAGTGGTGGAAACCTGCCTGCCAATACAGGAGATACAAGAGACAAGGGTTTAGTTCCTGGGTCAGGAAGATCCCCTGGAGAAGGGAATGGCAACCCACTCCAGTATTCTTGCCTGGAGAATCCCAAGGACTGGCAGGGTACAGTCCATGGAGTCACAAAGAGCCAGACACGACTGAGCACTTGAGCGCGCACACACACACTGCTTCTGGGTAGTAGTAAGAATGGCAAGATCCTTCTATAACATTCCAAATGACCTTTCAAGATTGTTTATAAGAAAGTTTTTTTAAGAGCTCATTGGACAAATAGTAAACGTTTGACAGAGTTAGATAATGAAGGGAACAGTGTACTGTTGTCATGTTTTGCCCTTTTAACTTGTAAGACCTCACCTACCTGGAATTCCATTACTTATCACATTATCTAGAGTCTAGAATATGCTTAAGAATCAGGACAAGGGGCAAGAGCTCACTGGTTCCAAACACTGTAGCTTTTTGTTTTTAGCATGGGAAAATGCCTAAAGCCCTCACTGAAAATATATTTTTATATACACTTCTAACAAGCTTGGTTATCAGGTTTCTGAGTACAGTTAAAAAAAAAGTTGCTAGAAGTAGCTATAATGATAGCAATGATGATTCACAGAAAGGGAAGAGATGGGAGAAAACATAAAAGGCAGCATATTAGTTTCAAGCCACTTAGTGGTATAGAAAATAGCCCTTAGACCTCATAACGTCATTATGGTTATCGAGTCATCAAAATTGTGTTCAGTATTCTTAGTTTGCTGGTAAAAATATTTCCTTAATGTTAAATTAATATATATATTCTTTTTAAAAAATATTTATTTGGCTGTGTTGGGTCCTGGTTGCAATAAGCGGGATGTTCATTGTGGCATCCCAGCTCTAGTTGTGACGTGCGGGCTCTGGAGAACTCTGTGACGGGTTTCGTTGGCCTGTGTCATGTGGGATCTTAGTTCCCCGACAAGGGATCAAACCTGCGTCCCCTGCACTGCAAGGCAGATTCTTAACCACTGCACCACCAGGGAAGTCCCTAATATTTTCTTTATAAAGATTTGGAAAGCAGGGGAAAACTCCAGAAAACAAATTACATGAGATCTACATGAAAACCTAGAGAGCACCTCAGTTGGCATTTTGATGTTTTCCCAGTCATTTTAAAAAAACCAAAAAAGTATTCACATACCATAGTTTATTATGTCCAGTTAGAAATGAGAGGAATGAGAGGACCGAAGTTTAACGAAATTAAATAATTTGAATTTATATTCTTTCTGCTAAATGATAGGAAAAACTGCTTCAGCCTATAGAACAGTGCTATCTGTGGTCACCAGTCTTTAAGGTTGCCAGGTAGAATACAAGACAATTAATTAAATTTGAATTTTAGATAAAGAACAATCTGAGGGGGGGGATGAGCATAAACCCCAAATATCACACAGCATGTACTTCTATCCAGTCTTTTTTTTTTTTCTGTGTTGTATGCACATCTCTAAGCATTTGTGTGTGGGTTGTTTTTTTTTTTTTATGAAATTGGGTTCATGTTGTATCTTCTCCTTTTGTTAACAGTTGTATCATGAGTATCCCCAAAGCCAAATATTCTTTGTAAATACCAGAAAATAACCCACTGTCAAATAGCTTAAAATTTTGATGCTAAAAATATGATCTCGATGGGACTTCCCTGGTGATCCAGTAATTAAGACTCCCTGCTTCCACTTTAGGAGGTGCCAGTTCACTCCCTGGTCAGGGAAGTAGAATCCCAGACCAGGCAGTGTGGCCAAAAAAAACCCCCCCCACAATCTCAAAATTATTTAGGGCAAACGTGCTTCTGCAGAATGGCATTCCTTAAGAATCCCAGAGAGCCCAGGTTCCACTCAGCTTTAAACTGATGCCTGTTTTTGTTCCTTTTCAGGCGGGTGCTACGTCTATGTGGGCTTCATGCTGTGGGCTACTGAATGAAGTCATGGGGACTGGAGCTGTCAGGGGCCAGCAATCTGGATTTGCAGGAGGCACTGGTCCATTCAGATTTACACCAAATTCTGATTTTTCTGCTTACCCACCAGCATCTACAGAAGGGCCTAATATAGTTTGTAAAGCCTGTGGACTTTCATTTTCAGTCTTTAGAAAGAAGGTGAGTTGCAAGAAATGTTACATACTAAAAACTTATGTGTCAGAATTCTCAACTGTATGTTATTTTGAATACTTTCATTTCTTCTTATACCTGTCAAAAAGTTAGTCCTAATAACCATTTCCCATTTGGAAAAGTACTAAGTTGAAGGGGCTGTGTATCATTGCTCAGGTTTTCTAACTAGACACTATTACTTCTCATGATGCTCAGCCATCCTTTCTCCTGGACTCTGACTTTGTTTATCCACTTTGATTCTTCTGATGCTGCTTATGTTCTGAAGCAAAAGATTTAATTAGTCAACAGTGTGTTCAGAGATGATTTACTATAGCTCTGACCTCGAGTTTCAAAAAAATGTCTCCCTACCCATATGAAATCAAGTGAAGAAGTGAGTATATTAATATTGACTATTGTTTAAAGATTCAACATACCACACTTGGGCTAAAACAGTTATTTTTCTTTAGGACAGAAAGTCATTCTTTCTGAGTACCATCATATTGCTAGGTCATCTCCCAGTCTGTCAGTTCAGTCCTTTAAAATACTTAAGGAACAAGGTGTTAACAAGGGTTGGTATTCCTAACCCCAAGCGGAAATGAGCACATCTTAGTATCTTTAAGCTTTGCTCATGGAATGGCTTTGATAGTGATTTAAGGTTCTGTAGGATACAGATTATTGTGAAGTGGCGTCCTCTGTTTGCTTGGCTTGATGCTGAGAGATCAGTTGCCTTTCTCTTTTCCTCTCTGTGTTAGGCTTTCCCCTCTTCTCTTTACTTATTTTATTTTATATTGGATATAGTTGATTAACAATGTTGTGTTTGTTTCATGTGAACAGCCCCCCTTCTCTGTAAACGGGGAAATTTTCACAGGAAAAGAGCAGGAAGAGAGTTTGTGCTTGTGCTTTTCTGCTCCATGTGGTTCAAGTCAGCTCTGCTTTGCTAATTACATGTTTGCACCCATGGGTGGAAAGGTTTTAATTCATTAACACAAGAGTATATTTTTCTTAAAGGGCTATATTTGAACTTTGGCGAATCCAGACTGCCTCAGCAATGACTGTTTTGATTTTCACAGCTTTGAGAACACGAAATGCCCATGGGTCTGGTGCCATGGGGGGCTTCATAAAAACTAAAATTTAATTTTAATAGAAGGCAAAAGGAAAACTAGGGCTTTTGCAGTGGCTTATGTCTGGCTCTCATTAAATGCTTCTTTTTTCTCTGTCTCTTCAGCATGTATGTTGTGACTGCAAGAAAGATTTTTGCTCCGTGTGTTCGGTCTTACAAGAAAATCTCCGTAGATGTTCCACTTGTCACTTATTACAAGAGACGGCCTTTCAGCGCCCTCAGTTAATGCGACTGAAAGTGAAGGATCTCCGACAGTATCTCATCCTTCGAAACATACCAATCGATACCTGTCGGGAGAAAGAAGACTTGGTGGACCTGGTCCTGTGCCACCATCGGCTGGGCTCTGAGGACGACTTGGACACGAGCAGTCTCAATTCCTCAAGGTCCCAGACTTCTAGCTTTTTTACACACTCATTTTTTTCAAACTATACAGCCCCGTCTGCTACTGCGTCTTCGTTTCAGGGAGAGCTTATGGGTGGAGACCGGACCTTAGGATCTGGAGCGCTGGCACAGGTACGAGGGTGCAGTTACCCCAAGGGCCTGGTACATCATCTGCTCTTGGCCAGTGTGGTGGGGCCTTCAGGGCTGATGGCTCCTTGCTGAGCAGAGGTTCCATGTTTTGCTGAACTCTGCGCCTGCAGGCTCCCCTGAGGCTCTGCACTTAGGTGCTGTACAAAGGGTCTGAAAAGAGCTCATCAGTCTCTTGACCTTAGTTACCTCAGTTTCCTTATCTCCTATAGTTAAATACTAGCTGTTGAAATAATGGCCGTGAAACGTAGCACATAAATGTTTACAGGGTGTAAACATTTTTACTATTTGTGTTTACTATTAAAACTAGTAAAAATGTTTACTATTTGTGTGTCAGTGACCATGGAAACTATAAGGTAACCTAATGCCCAGTTGTCTTGCTACAGTAAAGTTGTGCTCATCTAGATATTGAGAAAGAGCCATGTGAATTAGCAACACGATACGGTTATTTACTCATTTCAAAGAAATGCCAGTGCAGAATGTTGTCTCAGTGAGGTCCTTAGGCATTCTGATGGAATAACATGCACGGGCTTGTAATTAATACCCAATTTGTATATATGAATGATTCTAAAATGTTGAAAGAATTGTTTTGAACATTTATCTGCACGTTTAATTTTCTCCTCTGAGGAAAGAGGTTAGAAGCAGAGGGAAATGTGGTCTAGCTGCTTTCTAAATAGTCATAAATTAAATAAGCCCAAGTTAGGCATTTTGTTGTTTTGCCAAATGGCAGCTGGCACAATTATGATGCAAACACAAGACGCATGTGTCTGACCTTCGTGTCACTTTGGGGTATATGACACCACTCAGGAGGTGTGGGTTTTGGGTATTACAATATAGTGCTTGTGAACTACTAGGATAGAATACTTGAACTTGTAAATTGACATAGGCTTTCTGTTCTTCCTAAAGAAAAAAGTATCTGATGGTTGAGGAACTTCTAAAAACTAGAACTAGCATCCATCATCAGTGAATTATTCTAGAAAGCTTTGTTTGGAATTAGAATGTCTAAGTATGAGATAGTAGGACTGAGATCTTTGAAATCAAATAGCCCTGACACTAGGGCTGATCTTAGAGCTTTAGTTTCTACCTGTATCTTAGAGGCTCCAGTTAAACTAGCCATGTGCCGGTCCTTTGATCAGGACACAGTGCAATTTCATACACTGTTGGCTTTGGTATCCTGTGATGGGCCCTTCTTAACTCCTTGGGGAGTTAATATTCTGGTTAGATTTTTACAGATTCACACTCTCATAGGAATTTGACTTGTGAGATAATTATGGAAGGTTAGTTGTTTAGAGAATCATGTGGGGCCCAACTCTTTGGGAGGGGCAGTAGCTCTCAGGACCCTGGGAAGGTGTGGAGTGTACCAGGTGTCGGGGTCATTCTTAGGGAGGATGGCTAGAAGGGTTTTCTCCAGTGATAAGTATGAGTTGATAACTGCTAGGAAAAGTCCTGGCCTAATATCCATTATGTGTGTAGGAGCCCAGTGAAATAGCTTCAGCAAACACAGAAGACGATGAAGATGACGAGGACGACGATGACGATGATGACGATGATGATGAAGAAAACTTGGAGGAGCGGGTGAGATTGCCTGTATAATTTGATTTTCCTGACATGTCTTCACCCTTGTAGGGAAAATGTCCATGTGGACTTCGGCTAGATTAGCACAGGTTGTTGCTTCTAGTTTGAATGAAGCACAGCATATAAAACACAACAAGCACTCATGAAAAGTCTGGGTTGAATCTCCAGGACCAGTGATGCCCATAGGGCGAAGGCAGTATGCTGTTTTCCTTGCCGGATTTGCAGGAACAGAGGTAATGGATATACTCTCTGATTTTAGACGCCTGGCCTCGCCAAGAAGAGAGTGAGAGCTTCTCTGTCTGACCTATCAAGCCTTGAGGACGTAGAAGGGATGAGCGTGCGCCAGCTGAAGGAGATCCTGGCTCGGAATTTCGTCAACTATTCTGGCTGTTGTGAAAAATGGGAGCTAGTTGAGAAAGTAAACCGGTTATACAAAGAGAATGAAGAAAACCAAAAGTCATGTAGGTTTATTTTTGTTTTTTTTGTCCTTAGAGTAGCCTTCTTTAGGCTTTTTAAAACTGGGCTGTCAAAAAACAAAACAAAACTGGGCTGTCTGTGTCACAATGAAGTCCAATTTATTTTTGAGAAAACTATCCTTTGAGTGTGAATTAGTCATATGAAGCTGTTTATAGATCTTTTAAGCAGTAGGTTCATTATGTGATGTTGGCTTTGAGATCACCATTGCTGGTGAGTCAGGTAATCATTTGCTCAGTCTGTTTTTTCTTGCCATAATTTGTTAGAACTCTAATGAAATTCCTTGGATCTATAAAAAGGCTTCTTTTCTCACTCACCTGTCTTGCAAGCTGGTACTTAGGATTTAAAAGCTACAATTGAGATAATCAGTGGGGAAAAAAATTCCCTAGAGCCAAGATATTAAGTAGTTCTTAGCATCAGTATTAGTAGGTTTCTGTGTAAGTTGTGAAAAGCTGAGGTTAAGAACTTCTAAACTACATACTGGAGTGTGGAGCAGAAATCCTCAGCTAGTAAAGGGTCAGGGCCACAGACCTTTTATAGGCAAGAGAAAAGAATTCAGTGGTGTTCAGACTGACAAATATTACGTTCTAATTTCAAAAAAAAAAATCTTGAATTTTTTTCTTTAAAAGCTGGTTATAACACAGCATTGGTTGGTAAACAGGCCTATGCCCAAAATATGCAGAAAGCCTTTTGGCACACCTGTTTCTAAGATGATGCCACAATAGTAGACACAGGCATCTTAGTCATTGGAGCCTTCAGAAGCTCATGTGTCATCTTATTCCATGCATGCTTTCTACCTACTTTCCACTAATGGTGTGGGCTGAGAACCAGGACCTCAGAGGACAAGAATCTCTTGACATGGCAGTGTTTATTTCTCTTAAATCCGGGGACTACTGGACTACTGGCCCTTTGAGCTTGGATTTCCGTTCGGTTTTTTCTAACCTTCTTCATGATTCCCGTTGTGACCTTTAGAAGGGGAAACCTCACTTTCCAAAGCTCTGTGGCCAAATCTCAGGCTGCAATGAACTTTTTAAACTCATTCCACACCTTTCTTGTTCAGAACCAGAAGGTCCCTTTTAAGTAGACTCAAATAGTACTATCATAGTACTATCATAGCACTATCATAGCCAGAAACACAGATTAATTTTAAGATGCTTGCAAGCCTCAGGGGGTGCCTTCCCACAACGACAGGCAACTCAGTGTATGACACTTTAATAAACTTTCCTCAGACTCTTCCTCCAGAGCTGAGGCTCTGGAGTCTGCGACTTTCTCAAGGCCATGTAATTGGGCTGGAAATTCCAATTGTGTTCTGACTCTGAGGCTCCTGTATCAACCAGTCTGGGTTTCTTCATTTTTATTTACAGAAGCAAGCCATCATTATCACAAAAACCTTGTATTATGTATTCTATAAAATAGAATTGGGGGTCCCAAGGTGGCTCAGTGGTGAAGAATCCACCTGCAATGAAGGAGACACTGGTTTGATTCCTAGGTCGGGAAGATCCCCTGGAGGAGGAAGTGGCAACCAACTCCAATATTCTTGCCTGGAGAATCCCTTGGATAGAGGAGCTTGGCAGGCTATAGTCCTCAGGGTCACAAAAGAGTCTGATACGATTTAGCAACTAAACAAACAGCAACATAAAATAGAATTAAATAGCTAACATTTGCTAGGCACATCATCCCTGGCCCTCAGCTTAGCATTTCTCATTTATTCTTCATACAACCCTACGAGGCGTCCTTATTGTCATTTCTAGGGGAAGGAAGCAAGGTGAGAAGAAGTGGGGACTGCTTCTCACAGTGGGGTCACTGGGTCCTTCCACAGCCGTGCCCGCCACCCCAGCCCTCTGTTGCCTTTCAGATGGTGAGCGGCTGCAGCTGCAGGACGAGGAGGACGACAGCCTGTGCCGGATCTGCATGGACGCCGTCATCGACTGCGTCTTGCTCGAGTGCGGGCACATGGTCACCTGCACCAAGTGTGGCAAGCGCATGAGCGAGTGTCCCATCTGCCGGCAGTACGTGGTGCGCGCTGTGCACGTGTTCAAGTCCTGAAGCCCAGCCCCCTGTGCTGAGCTCCATCCTAGACATTTCCGTGCACAGAAGGGGACTGGAAACTTCCTGTTTGAAAGCTGAAGCTATTTTTAAAAAATTATTTTCACTCCTAACTGGGGACGGGAAAGATTCATCCTGAGTTGCGGCCACACTGGTCCATGCCGTACGCCAGTCAGCCTGAGCACGGGCTCAAGTTTCCCAGGTTCTGCTGGGCTCCCTCACAATGCCTCTTGACGACTCCTTGCTCAAGTGGACTGCTTATGGCATCAGCTACTGCTCTCTTTGCAGGACATTTCTCTTGTTCTCTTGTTTCTCCTTCGTCCTATTTTTAACTCAGATGTTTGAAACTTCTGTTCTCTTTGGATGAGATCACTGTCTGCAAATGGCTGACACGGTACACGCTGAGCAGTGGCACCTCTGAATGTTCATTTTATTAGTCATGTATATTTTAAATGCTACTATTTGATGAATGTAAGTTTCCACATTGTCGCTCTTTCTGCGTTTCAACCTCATTGGGAACAACTGACATTCTATAGTCAACTGCCAGGGCCTTAGACTAAACGTGTCCATTTTTGTTCAGGTACAGCTTTTTCTAGCAAGGGCTGCATCTAGCTTCCTTCATTAGAGAAGTGTGTGTGTTAAATTCTTTATTAACGTGTAATCAGTTACACTGTTTTGTATAGTGAAAGTGTATTTTCAGTGCTACCCACTAGCTAATTTGAACTTTAGGAATAAAAGTAGATTTTAAGAAATGTTTTTATGGACACTCTTCCTGGTCAGTTCTTAATTCACTTGGGTACAGCATGAATGGGTGTCCACACCTGGTCCATCACCTCCTTCAGGAGAGCAAGGAGCACCTTCAAAGATGCTGCCCCCACCTACCCTTGGCTGCTGACTTAATGGTAAGTTTAACTACATTTTCACCGTTTACTGTGACCAGGTATTGTGCCAGGTGTTTTGTGGTTATTTCCAAATATATATTACCTCATGTCACAGATGGGGAACTCAATCTCTGAGAAATTAAAAAACTTGTCTAAAATCTGTTAAAAAGTCACCACAAAGAATTCCCTGGAGGTCCAGTGGTTAAGACTCTGTGCTCTCATTGCCGAGGGCTGGGTTCAATTCCTGATCGGGGAACTAAGATCCTGTGAAGCCAAGAAAAAGTGAAGCTAAAGAAAGTTTTTTAATAAAATAAGCCCCCACCTCAGAATTTGAACCTAGCTCTAATGTTTTTTCTTAACTCCTCTAATAACCAGAGATGATAAACCTGAGAAACTAACTTATGCAAAAAAGGTTCTTGGGATATTAATGATCTGAAATCTCTTTTCTTTTAGATCTAATTCTGATCATGGTGGTTGAATTGAGACCAACTGTGGATTCACTCCCACTGCTTGTGAGGAGGTGTGTTTTTGGGAAATTACATAACTCCTTGGGTGAGTCCTGTGGGTTTCTTTTCTTTTGACTCTGTGCAATGGGTAATGCATGCCTTCAGGTGCTCAGGATCCAGAAGTCAATGAACAAGACTTGAAAATTACAACAAAGGAGGTAAATAGTCTTCCCTGCTGTGCTTAAGGCTGGAAGTTTGGCTAGCTATGAAATAAAGTTGCCTTTCTACGTTTTCTGATAGGGTCAAAGCATGTAAACCAGTGCTTTGTGGATAGTCTCAAAACCTCTTCTCTTGTGCTTGCCTGCAGACCCAGAGCTCAGCCCCTGCTGAAGCTATATGTGCTCTTAATCTGTACTTCTAGTCAGACAGTGAACTCCAGAAATTCAACATTATCCACAAATCATTAATTTTGTGGAGGGGTCTTCAAATCTAGGCTAGTGGGTGAGACAGTAAACACACCTAAATAGAAGCCAAGCAGCAGGTATTGGTGTTATCTGAAGTTAAATTAGAATATTGAGATTTGTTTGCTCATAGTCTCAGCTGAAAACAGCTTATTTACTGTTTCCTCTTGGACTTACGTATATTATCAGGTGTTTGTTTTAGCAATGAACAAAAACTCCTAGTGGTGGATCTTCTTAGGTAGCATTTTCAAACAACCTTGGCTTAGTAAGAAGCAAACACATTTTCAGCCTAATAGTTTGGAATAATAAGGTACTGATTTATTTGGCAGAGGGCAAACATGTCTGTCTGGAACCTGCATTTTCTAGCTGCATGCCATGTCTCTATTTCTTAATAGGTAACCTGTCATATGGATCCACAAGTGAATAGTTATGTCTCTTTATCCTCATGGTACGCAAGGATGCCATTCGATGGGCCATGGTATCTCTGTCAAGGTCAGCATCCCTCGAGGAAGGAGGGTTGGAGCCTGTCCTCTTTCCTGGGTTAAGATGTGGTCTTACCCAGGAAGTGCTCCCTATGCTTTATGTACCTTCCATTACTTCATCAGATGTATTTGGGCTCAGAATAGCTGTTTGCAAGCATCTAGCTTGGCCCAGCCTCATCTAAAGCTCATTTTCTAAGGAATAGGTCTGTACTGGGATACACTAAAGTACCCTAACATAACGTACCTTCAAGTTGTGAACATGTGCTCACATGTCCAGTCACGTGAGTCAGTTTACATACCTGGCATACATTGTCACATGCATGCATCCTCTACAAGTGGTTGTGTACTTCACAATACTGTAGAGAAGACAGTGTTTATTTCAAGTCCAGCATGTCTGGAAGCAAGCGTAAAAGCAGCAGTGATGTAGCTGGTACTGCACTTAAAAGTCTGTACTAGAAGATTAGAAATGTTTGTTTTTTTAAGGTATTTGTGTCCAAAGTATTATAAACCTGTATAGTTCTATATATCTGATTACATTAGTTGGTTATCTAGGCTAACTTTGTTGGACTTCAGAACAAATTGAATTTAGGAATGTGCTGTTAGAACAGAACTTGTTTGTGTGTAAGGGACTTACTATATAATCTTAACTGGATTGTTTGGTACACCTGGGGAATGGTAATCTGTGACCAGCGCACTACAAACGTGACCGGAAAACAGGGTCAGTTTCTAATGCCAAGATTCCACCTGGAAACCACAGTCACCCTTCAACAGTTCCCAAAGAAGAAGATGCCTTTACTGGACATCAGGGTAACTCTTACTCAGAGGTTCGCAGCACTCAGGCTGCCAAGAAAACTGCAACTTGACCTATGGTGTGGGTGCTCCACGATGAGTGATCAGGCTTGAAAGGTAAGCCACATTTTTATAAACAAACCATCATGTGTTAAACTAATCTTACCTCTGTCAAATGCATCCCCTGAGTTAAATTCCAGGGTGCAACAGCTTCAGATGTCTCCAGTTTGAGTCAGAAAGGATCTCAGGATTTAAACGAATAGGAGGCATAGACCTAGATGGGATCTAAAACCATTTCACCAAGGGGAAGAAAAAAAAAAAGGATTGGGGTGGTGCTGTGAGTATGAAATGACTATTAGTGGGAAAGGCTAGTCCCGTGAGACCCAAGTCTGGTGGTGCTGTTGATGACTGAGGAAGGAAGCTGGGCTATCTTTTATTTTCAGATGACTAGTTGCATCTTTCTGTGATCTCAAGTTGACGTCCCACCTGGAGCAGTTACCTCCTAGCTAAGGGCCTCCAGCTACCCAAGCCCAAGGTCACCAGTGCAGGTTGTGGTCTCCTTGAGTTGCCTCCACTGGAGGCTGAGCAAGTGGACCCCCGTCCCCCCTCTTTGGCAGTGGAAATGCCAAGTGGCTGTGGAAGTTACCTTATACAGGCGTGGTCAGAGGCAACCACACAGGTAAGCCACTCTGCCCCTTAAAGCAGTTTGTACCTAATTCTTACATGTGGACATTACTTTATTAGCTACGAACAGCAAGATCTCTTTCTGAAGATGGAAAAACATGTACCAAGGGGCTGCTGCATTTCTCTGGTGACTAACAAATGATACCTAGTCTGGCTTCAAAATATATATCACTGGTGCCGAGACTATGGCCTCTGGACCTCCCAGTCAGACTTCCAGTCCGCCCCAGAACAAAAACCCGCCAAGTCCAAGAGTGGGGTTTTTTTTGTACAATTGTTTATACAAATTCAACAAAGGTAAAACCGCGTCAGGGAAGATCTAGGAAAACAACATCTTACAACAATGGCACTTATGAATGCCTAACTTTACAACTGGGCAACAGCCATGTTCTAAACCTCAAATGAGAACTCAGCTCACTTCAAAGGAGAGAAAAAAAGAAAAGGCTGTGTTGGGTCATTTATTCTATTTCTCGACTCACTGTATAAATTAGATCTATGTAGAATATAAGAGTTCATGCTGGAGCAAACCCCTCCTGAGTGCAAAGGCTGAAGTCTGAATTTCAAAATTTTGAGGGAAAAAAAAAAGGTGAATTCTATACAGAGGAAATTTAGCAAAGTGTCTCTCTCACTTTGACTATAATTTACATATATCCACATCATGCTTATGCAATTTCTTGACATACAAAGCAGACTCTCAACTTCCAGTTAGACATGCTTTTAACTGGAGGTCTTAGCCTGCTTTGCCAGATCTGGGCACATGTATAGATGGGTTTGTATGAAGTACACGGAAAGGTCTCTCCTACCTTAAGGAAACCAGGAAAGTTGGCAATCTCAAAACAATAAAAACACTGGTATGCATTCAAACCTTGCATAAATAACTTTTAAACAATTTGTACAAAAATAGTTCTGCATAATGTAAGATGTAACAAAACCAAACAAACATGTTGAGACGGCAGATGTGGTGTGTGGTCCACTTTATGTTGATACCAAAACCCCCAAAGTTGCCAGGAGTAAGGTGCCCAAAACAAAAACACCACCACCCCCCCCAAATTTCCTAAGCTCATGCTTTAGTAAGAGAATGTCGCCCAAGTCCATCCTCCTCTCCAACGGGAATGTCTTCTTGGTAAAGGCCGCCTGAGCAATGGTCCAGAAAGCAGTGCGGTTTTGATTCAGAAAGACCAGAGGAAAGCACCAGGCTCGCTCATCCCCCAAACAGTGGCAGACTGGCTTCTCCCTCGGCAAGACTTGCAAAAGGGAATTGTTTGGGGTTTGTTGTTCCAAGTTCCAAACTGAAAATATTTAAAGGCCCTAGTTTTTGTAAAGTCTTTCCCCCTCCCCTGGCGTCTCCCCTCCCCTCACCCCATATTTACATACTTGTCCTTGGACTAACTCAGTTTTTGCAGGAGTTTTTCTTCCACTTGTCCGAACTGGACACTAACAGACATTTCAGCTATGAACTGCTCGCAGCCTTCCTTGGTAACTTGCTTGCAGTACCTCAGGTCAATGTGACAGATATTCCCACAGCGTTTGAAGAAAGACAGGCACTGGTCAGTTACCTTATTGCAGTCTGGAGGGAAGAGGACACAGGTGAGGTGGAGGAGGCGTGGAACCGAGGACCCCCTCCCCTGATCCCCTAGCAGCTCTCCTGTTCAGTCTCCTCAGATGGGGCCTGGTTTCCTCTACTACTTACAAAGGTTCATACATGCCTGAAAAACACCCACAAGTTCCAAGTGAAATTGCTCAGAGTCTTGTCCCATGTAAAAGTCTTACATGTATACATTCTCACATCAACAGGTCCTGTCCATATTGTTTTACAGACAAGATCACACAACACATGAAAACAGCTTGCTTTTCATGTCTACTCCTACTGAGGAACACCTCTCTCTACACGCTCTTGTGTGCTTACCTGCTCATTCCCAGGGAAGAGATGCTCGGGGAGTGAGGACACTTGTAAGGCCATCTCGGGGCCCTCCTGCTCCCCTGGACACCAGTGCTTTACTGCAAGGCCCCACATGCTTGGTCCCCTTTCGTGGAATGTCAACCTCAAACCCACGTAGGAAACCAATGCACGAGAAGTGGCTGGAGAGATTCCATCCTCAGAGAACAAAATCGGAACTCCAAACCCTCAACTGAGTATTTTTATCAATGTGGACTTGGGGTCTGTCATACTCTTTTTTTAGAACTGAACCCTCAGCCAATGAGCTGCAGTGCCAGCTCTCATCCAACTGAGGCCAAGTCCCTACCCCGAGCCCGGAGATTCCTTCATCTCAGTGGTATTACTGACCTTTGCTTGTCATCGCTAGTATATATACTTTGATTTTGCTATTGAATTGAGTAGGAACAAACGTTAACAGTAAGGGCGAACTGCAGTAATGCACACAAGGCCCGTGCCAGCTCTATATGTCACAGTCCCTTCAGCTTACGAGGTGGTCCAAAGAAGTCACGTCATAGCACCCCACGAGTCACCAAAGAGCACTCTCCTCAGGTCTGCACAACATCCTTGCACAAATGCTTAAAGTCTTGGATACACATGTCAGACAATGTCAGTAAAATCCAATCCTGAACAATGAACTCATGAACTTAGAACAAGTGGTGATGGAAAGCTGTCTGCCTCCCATGCTAGCCAGGCAGATGGGAAAGTGACAAGGATGCTGCCAAAGAGGTGACTTGGAAGATTAACACCTCAGATCTTCCAAGGGTATCCCCTTATCTCATAATCCCTCAAATATCTGCCCCCATAATCTTACTGTAAAAGTCAAGTGAGAAAGGATGGTGTATAAACCCTGTAAGGGGCACACGTATAAAGCTGGAAGACTCCCCAGCAGAAGAGGGGAGTTTGTCTCTGGGCAAGAGAAAGGCTCTAGACTAGGCACCACCAGGCACTGTGGAAGGCAGGAGGGCCCACTGAAAAATGCAGTTACAGGAAATTTACCTGCTGATTGTTGACAGCCCCAGACTGCTTTCCTGCCAAGCCCTAGAACACCAGCAGCCTGGCCTGAACCCTTCAGTTGGGAGGTCAAGAAAAGTGTCCTTGGGCAACTTTGACCAGCTTAAGAGGAAAGACGGATAGATGTCAAGTCTGGATTTCCCCAAAGAAACAACCCATGCTGACCACCCAATGACATCTACAGTCCCAAGCTCCCACCTTGTCCCAAGAGCAGCCCATCAGCTGAATAGAAAACCACATGCTGACGACACAACTGAGAGAAGCCCCTTAGGCAGGCCCACTGACTGCTTCTGAAGGAATGCATGGTATGTGGAGAAGAAAATATAACTACCAGTATCCTCAGGATGGACAATATCTGGATCCAAGAAACAAGAACAGGCCACTCTCCAAAAGTTCTGAGAACTGTAGCTGTAAAGTTAAAAATATAGGCTAAACCATGTGAGAACTGACAATATGTGACTTTTTGACCTACATAATAAAGCAGTTTCATATGTCTGAAATGAAAAACTCACTACAGTTGATCCTTGAACAACACGTGTTTGAACTGTGCAGGTCAACTTATCTGCCCATGTTTTTCAACAGTAAATACTAGAGTGCTACAAATTTGTGGTTGAATCTGAGGTTATGGAGGAAGTGTGAATACCAAGGGCCAACCATCAGTTATATTTGGATTTTCCACTGCAGAGGGCTCCACCCCTAGCACCTAAGTTGTTCAAGGGTGAACTATGAACTGTGTAAGAAGTAGGGGAAAACCAGAGAAAAGGGCAAAAGACAAGAGGTGGGGAAAAAGTAAAGGTATCAAAAGACTACTAAAGAAAGAAAACAGAAGGGAAGGAAATTAAATAATTCAAGGCAATTTTCCAGACCCACAGAACATATATTTCCAAGTTGAGAGATTGATTATACCTTACAACATGAAGGTATAATGAAACCATTTCAGACACAGGAGGTCTGGATTATGTCCTCCACCAAACAAACAGATAAACCAAGAAAGAAGATACAGGACCAAGGAAAGAGGGGCCCCAACACAAGACAGAGACCAAGGCAATCCTAGGAAGCAGATGTGCAGATGGCAGAGGCAGTCAAGTTCAAGTGGGGGCAGGAGGAAAGAAATGTAGGAGGGTGGTTTCCTACCAAGACTGGTTAAGGGCCTGACGAGTTCATGAGGGTAAAGAATAGTACTCGAGTCTGTTGTAGTCTGTTCAGAGACTGAGCAAACAAAAAGGAGGCAATTATTAACTCTAGGGAAAACAAAAAAATTGTGCAAGGGAAGAAACATAATACACACTTTGGCTCAACAGTGGACAATCCATGCATGGCCATAATGTGGTAAATAATAGTGACGTAACCACACAAACTGGGAAGATTGGGGTGGGGGGGGGGCGCGGCAGCAGTGTAGAGAATTTAAGAACAGTAATCCTTATGCTCTACAAGGCAAGTTAACAAAAAGAGCATCTGAGTGAAAAAATAAACAAGAAATAGCAATGTAGGCTGTTTAGAAAAGTGGAGGTAAACAAACAGCAAGAGCTCAAAATTTGAAGGTGGTTCTTCCATGTGAGAAGCAGGGGCAGGGAAGGCAAGGCACCAAAGTGGCTTCACTTTTGCTACTAGATCTGATCTGACCACACTGAAGGATCTGGAAATGTGTCAAGCACATTCCTTTCTGTGGCAGAGGCTTATTTTACCATTAACTAGTTACACTTACAGGAACAGAAAACATGTTAAAAAGAACCAAATATAGACAAGACCGGGTATGGAGATCGGCCTTCATACATGTCGCAGCTCTCAACACCAACGGAGAGAGATGAATGTAGGTTCTGAGACGAAAAGATGAGGTGACTGGATTATGGCAGAAAACAATGCAACAGATGATTTACACAAACACACATCATGGACATCCTCTTCGCTGCAGGGGAGGGGGATTTTATACCCGTGTCCCTGCTATATACCCTAGTGACCCAGTCAGAACAGAGGGAAAGAGTTCATTACTACCAAGCACTTAGAACAAGCTGCCTCCCAGGCCCTTCTCCATGGGGCAGCCCGGCATCAGTTTAAGACCAGTAGCTGAGGTCTTGGTGGAAGCTCACCTCAATGTGGTTCTCTGTTCTCTGCCTCCTTGGGGGGCCACCACCCCACTGCCACCCGCCACCAAAACTCCCTGAGGCGGGAGGGGCCTCCCAGGCACTAAGGTACGGCTTCAGCTCATGTGAGCCAAACCTCCCCGCTCCCAGTCGGATGGGGCATTAGCAACAGGAAGGAGTTTCTTAGGAACAAACACAGGGTGAAGAGAGGCAAACAGCAAAACAGCATGTGAATGCTGACCAAGCCAAACAGCAGGTTGGATTGTGTCAAAATATGATTTACATGAGGTGAGGATATTATTTATTCCTTGCTAATTTCTGGAGGAAAAAAAATGTGTGTTTTTTTTTTTTTTTTTTTTGTCTCATCCTAATCTCCCACACCCAACCTGACCATCCTGAGCCATCAGACCAGTAAAGGGTTATTGACTGGGCTCAGAATGGGTGGTGTCACCTCTGTCCACCTCCCTGTTGGTCATGCCCCAAGCTCTTAGGAACAAACTCCAGCCCCATCAGTAAGTGGAAGGAGTGAGGACTCCACTGTGGAGTTCTCTTCTTGTCAACAACGGGCCCCTTGATGGCAGAGTCAGGAGGGGGACACGTGAGCGACAACAACAATGGCAGCCATCAAGCCGGGTACTCCATCCACCTGGCCTGGTCACACTGCCAGGCACCCTCCCACACCGGCTGCTGCCCAGCACCAGCTCATCCAGTGGGCCCGAGGGAAGTTTTCCTAGCCCCTATTTTGGGTCAAGAGCCACTGCTATGTGCTCATGTGTGCTCGCTGCTACTGGCACTAATTTTTTGTAGCAATTATTGAAAATCTAATAATGCTTAATTGTTTAACGTGTTTCCCCGCTAGACTAGGCCGTGTCTTGTTCCCTGGTGTGTCACAGCACCTAGGACATGACCCTGTAACAAGAGGCAAGCCAGTATTTCCCTACAACTGTGAAATGCACCCCCCCCTGAACTATGGGGTCCTGGGCAGAGCCCCGTGGGTGCCCCTGACTGACCTGACAGGTTGATTTCAGTTAAGGAGTCCCGGGTGGTGGTGCCCACAGCAGTGAGCAGGTTGATGGACTGGTCAGTGACGTGGTTACAGTAACTGAGGTGGAGCTTGGAGAGCAGGGGCATGTGGCGGATGATAAGCCGCAGGGAGGCGTCCGTGATGTCCAGGCCGGCCAGACGCAGCTCCACGATGTTCCGGAGCTTACTCCGATTGTCCATCTGACCTGAGAGGGCGGGGTGGAAGAGGCAACGGGTCACCTGGACATGACACTCTACAAGGCCCACCCGCCAGACGGGACACCTGGGTTTCATTCAGCCAGTGAGTGTCTCTCCTAAAAGATCAGGACTGGTTCCAACATTTAGAGACTGGCATATTCCATGTCAAATTTTACATTTGCAGATTCTTTAAAAGTCAGAAGATCTACAAACACAGCCTGCATTCCACCAGCAGTGCTTAGCCAGTTAAAGCAGAGATAGCACAGCATCTCTGGGTCAGCAGAGTTTCCTCTTTGAAGGTATGGGTATGGAGCAGTGAGCCCTGCAACCTGTTCTAGAGGGCTCCATCTGAGGCCCTGTCCAGCCACACAGATCGCGATGCTTCCGAGGCTTAGAGCAGCGAAGCAGTCAGACCCACACAGAGCTCCCAAAGTGGCATGATGGGAGCTGCTGCCCTCTCACAGATCCCTTCTGCGCCCAAAGCTGACTGAGAACAGAAGCGCTGAGGCCAGAGAAGGTGAGGACACAAGCCCCAGACGTGTCTGTAGTGAAAACCAGACCCACTCACACAGCTTGGTCACACCACCTTTACACAACCCCGTTGGCCTGGTCCCTGGCCTAGCCCCTCACCTGGCCTGTTATCTGTAGGCGGGGATAGGAGGTCCCGCATCTGGGCATCCTTCAGTCCTTCTACCCACTGGACATCCAGGGTCCGGAGCAGCGGACAGCTGGAGCTACAGAGGGCGGAGACTGCGATCCATGAGCAGCCAGACAGCACCAAGTCTCGGAGCCCTGGGGGGACAGAGAGGTGGCCATAGGTAAGGTGACACGCCCCCCAGCCCCCAATACTGCACTCCAGGGGGTCCCTGGTCCAGTGCTCACCAGGCAACCGGTTGATGAGCCAGCTCAGCTGTTTCTTGGAGATATTGGTCCAGCTGAGGTCCAGGGAGACAGGCTGTCGCCGGATGATGCCGCTTAGCATCAGGGGCGTGATGGACTTGCAGTGGTTCAAGTCGATGCGGGTCCATAACCGCTTATCGCAGCACCTGGGGGCCAGGCCCGGCAGAAGGGGCAACATCAGAGTAGGGAGCTCACTAGGGGAGCCTCCTGCATGGCTGTGGTCAGTCCCCCACCTACCAAGCCCAAGGGGAGGCTCCTTAACTTTGCCATCTGGACTCTTCTGTTTAGTTTCTGTCTTAGTCTCACCTGGAAGAGGCTGCTCTGAGGGGTCACAGCCCTTCCCCCTCACCCCCCACGGAAAGTACCAGTACCTATAAAGTATTTACTGGGGGCTTTATGACACCTTCCACAGATCATATCTCAAAACAACCCCGCAGCATGCCTGTTCACAGATGAAGGTAAGTAACTTGACCAAAGTCAGAAAGCTGGGGACTCGCGAAGCGGGAACATCAGAAACTTGCAAAGTGCCCTTAACCTGGGCTCGTATTTTTTTTTTGGTGCCAGACTGCTTGGCATATGGGATCTTAACTTCCTGGCCAGGGACTGAACCTGTGCCCCTGCAATGGAAGCACAGATTACCAACCATGGGACCACCAGGGAAGTCTCACCTGGGCTAACTCAAAGAACAAGGACATCACTTGGTTCTTAGTTCACCTCCCAAGGAGTTAAGCCAGGAAAGCAAATAGGGTTCACCTCTTTCAACAAGACCACACTGACGGGACTCTGGAACTCTCTGATGATACTGAAGCTGGACTGACTTAGAAGGGGAGAGCATCACAAGCGACTCCTATGGGGATCCCTGGCCCATCTGGGTGTAGCCGCAGGCCGGCCCCCTAGTGCCTCCCAGTCTGAGCCTGGCCCCTCACCAGCGGTTCCAGGTCTTGCAGACCCGCATGCAGACACACAGGTCTCGGTGGCTGAGGTAGCTGAAGACGGCCATCCACACCTCCCTGTGCATGACGTGGGCCGCCCCGTCATCCAGGGGCAGCGAGTCGGGCGGGGGGCTGATGGGGGGCGGCCGGATCACATGTCGCTCCATCTGGATGCACTTGGGCGGGGACACGGAGGGAGGGGGCCGGGAGATGACTCGGGGCGGGCTGCGCAGGCCGGGCCCCAGCTGGTGCCGCAGCTCCCGGGGGGTGCCGTTGAGCCCCTTGCTGAAGCGGTGGGGGCGCTCGCAGAGGCCCAGGGGCCGCTTGGGCTCCTCGTTCTCGCTCTCAGGCTCCGACTTGATGGGCTGGTGGTTCTCCTGGGCCAGGCTGCTCTCCGTCTTCTGGATCTCCTGGTTCAGCTCCTTGCTCAGCTCCTTGCTCAGCTCCTTGTTGGGGAGCCGACGCTTCCGCCGCATCTTCACCTTCTTCTTCTCCTCGGGCCCCTCCGCACCCTCAGTGCTTGGCCCGGCGGTGGGGGAGCTGGAGCGAGAGTGGTCGCTCTCCCTGGTCTTGGGGGGCGCCTCGGGCAGGTCCTCCTCTGGTTCCTGCTTGAACCGCCGGAGAGGCTTGTTGGCCAGAGTTATCCGGTCCTCGGAGTTCTTCCAGGACCGCCGCTGAGGGAGGAAGGGGAGCACGGGAGTAAGCCCCCAGGCCCAGGGATGAGCCCACCGAGGCCCTCCTACCCTCCACCCTAAGACTACTGCCCTAAGAGAGGTGCTGGGACAACGGCGAAGGGGAGATGGTACCTTTTTCCTGAAAAGCTTATCTTCTTTGCCAGGTTTTAGCTGTCATGGGAAAGAAAAGATGCAAAGCTTGCTCCCAGGGGTCGTAGGATTTGGTTCCCTCCACACCCAGCCCCACCAACAAGAGTCCACAGTCTCTACAGAGCAGAGGCTATGGGGTCACCTTCCCAACAAACCCCCATCTCCTCCGCTCTGGGTGGGCCCTGCCTGCTGGCTTTAAAGGAAGATCTGGAAGTGGCGAAGGCTGATGGAACTGTCCCCACCCAATTGACCTCCCACCCCTGGACAGACCCAGGAAGCCGCAGTCGCTCATTCAGGTCGGACTTGACTTTGGGAGCCAGGCCTGGAGGCAGGGTCTGCGGGATTTCCCCACCGAGCCTTAATGGCTAGAGCTGGGAGAAGACAACTCGGCGCCACCTCGTGGCCGATGCTGGAAGGGTCGGTGGGCGGAGCGGGGCCGCCAGGATCCTCCGAGGTTCCCCAGATCCACAGGGCTTCCCTGCGGCAGCTTCAGCTTCCCAGGCCCCAAGCCGTAACCAGCGACCCGGAGCTGGGGCCTGGGAAGTTACGGTGAACCGTTGCCTGGGAGCGTCTGCGTAACGGGTTCGAGGACCGGTGGGGTGGGGGCGGGGTGGGAATGGGGCGCGGGGGAAGGGGTCCTGGGACTCGCGGTCCCGCGGGGGGGGGGGGGGGGAGGGGCGACGTGGGAGCACCTGCTGCTGGAAGTAAGTGAGACTGGATCTCCACCAGGGACTGAGGCTGCTGCCTAGAGGGGGCCTCGGCGAAAGGTGAGAGGAGGAACCAGGGGATGTTTGAAGCGTCGAGGCCTAAAGGGGTGGGAAGAGGAGTGACTCGCTGGTTTTCCCCTCCTTTTCTCTTGGGCTGGGCTCAGGACTTCTGTGACTTGCTCGGGCGGCCCGCTGCCCGTCCCCGCCCCCGCCCCCGCCCGCGCGCCCCTGCATCCGGGACCAGCCAGGCCACCCCTCGCTGTCCGCTGCCCGCCCCCTGCCCCTAAGCGTACTCGCTTGCGTCCACTCAGCTCCTGGGGCTTCTCGTATTTCCGCTTCCTCCTCAGGTGCACGTCGTCCGACTTTCGGCGCAGGATGCCGTCGGGGGGCACCTTCTTGGGGTGCTCGTCGGGCCTGCGCCGGGGTGCCTCCTCACACTCACTCCTCCGCTTGGCAGGCTCCTGCCCTTCCTTGTTGTCCCGGTTCATCTTCTGCTCCTTGAGCAGGGAGCCGGGCAGGTTGGAGGCGTACTTAAAGCCAGGGCCACGCTTTTGCTTGTAGGCCAAAAACAGAGAAGGAACACACCAACTGTATATCTTTGGACTTGCCCCTGCCCCCGAGTCCGCGGTAGCCCCTCCCAGCCGACATCGCCGTGGTGGGAACAAGCTGTGTCTGGCAAGGCCAAGGTCTACCCCTCCCGGGTTGACCCCTGGGACTTGGAGCCCGGCACTCACTTTCCCGGTCTTGCCGGCGTGGTTACACTTGGGACACTCCCAGCAGTTTGGAAGCTCATCGTTGACCACGCCCTCTGACTCCTTAATCTGGGAGGGACACACACCAGTCAGCAAGCAAGGAGGTGGGGGACAAGGCCAGCTCTGCCCCAGGCATGGACACCCCCCTCCCAAATGCTATTTCCATACCACCTTTGACCAAGAAAAAAACAAGAGTAGTAGTTAAGACGGGTGGCTCTGGATTCAGGTCAGGGTTCAAATCCTGATTGTGCCTCTTCCTAGCTCCATGATCCTGGGCAAATCGCTTAATCTCTGTGGACAAGTACCCTCAGCCATAAATGGGATGTGCCTATTTCCCTGGAGTTATGTGAGAATTCAATGAGGTAACCTAGTGAAAGCAATTAGCTCAGGGCCTGGCGCCCAGCAAGGCCCACAAACTGCTCAGTCATTTCACAGCACCGTCCTGGGCACTTGGCATCAGCCGTCAGTGTGCTGTCCCTGATCTGGAGCTTCAGATCGAGACAGAGCAGTGACCAGGGGCTGGGGGAAGTCATAGCGCCCCTTTCAGAGCGGGAGGTAGGTGTGTTGGGGAAAAGGGGTAAGTGTCAAAAGAAACCTCCACTAACGTCACTGAGGGAAAGGGGACAGACACCCCAGAGTCGAAGCACCCTTTGAGGCAGGCCCACTGGCGGGCCCACCCTCATCTCTCTAAACAGAGATACACCTGGGCTGACAGGAGGTACCAAGTGTGACAAAATTCACTTGAGACAGGTGTGAGGTATGTGCCAGCCCAGAGCAGTCACTTCCTTTCAAAGGTGGAACCGGCTGCCTAAGAAGGGCAGGGCCAGCATGGCAGTCCCCGGGAGAAGGCAGGCCTGTCCTAGGCACACCGAGGGAACAGGTTCCTGGCACTAAGGACAGGAATGCAACCACCTGTTGTTACACGACCTGCCCTCCCCTGGTCCAGGTCTTACTTTCCCAGAAGCCCCAAGAGCAACCCAACTACCCAGTCTCTCTGGCCCAGGTGCAAGACTCTGGGAACTCTGTGGGTCTGAGGCCCTGGCAGGTGGAGTGTGTGCATGTGCATGCATGCATGTGTGCAAGGTCTGAGCTAGTCCAGGCCCTTCTGCTCTCAGCTCATCATCGGATGCATAGAATCCCCCCGGCTCCCAGGTTTTCCAGGGAAGGAACTTACTCCCCTCCACCCCAACCACCCCCAGCGTCAGCACCACCAGAGAGAAAACGAGGGTCAGGTGTTGAGCAGTGCAGCCCGACGCCCCCAAGCCTGCTCACCTTAAGGCATCCAGGGTGGATGATTTCATTGCAGATGGAGCATTCCATGAGCATGAGGTTAAACTTGCCTTCTTCCTCTTCCACGGTATCCTCTTTTCCTGCCTCGCCACACACCAGGCACACGGCGGTGTGGGGCAGCACTGGCTGCAGGGTGGGGAGAACACAAGGAAGTCGGCATGGCCGGGACCCCACGGGGACAGATCAAATCAATGAGCTCTCCCCTTGGGCCTTCCAGGAGCCCTGGGAGAACCAGCCCAGGGCTGCCCATCGTTCGTTCATTCATTCAAATCCTTGTCCATGTACTACCTCCACATGCCAGGTACTACTCCAGCACTGAACCAGACAGAAGTCTCTGCCATCCTGAGCTTACATTTTAGTGGCGAGAAGCAGACAAAATGCAGAAGAGTCTGTTAGATGGTGACAAAGGAAATGGAGAATAAAGCAAGGACGGCCAGGCCAGGGGAGAGGTGAGGGAAAGGAGGGCTGACCTGAAACAGAGAGGTCAGGGACCGCCTCACACTTGAGATAAGACCTGCAGGGGGAGGTGGGGCACAAGCCAAGCCTGGATGTGTCGGGGCTGAGGCTGTGTCTCTCCAGCGGCCATCAAAGTACGGACCGAGGATTCTGGGTCCTCAGAACTTTAAAGGGAGATCAAACTATCTGCAGAATACCACCAAGACGCCATCCGCCTTTTTCACTGTGTTGATACTTGCCCTGGTGGGTGAAACCACTGGCACGTGTCAGGGCAGAGGCTCCAATATGCCTGAGCAGTCATTGGACCACTCCTGGCTATACGCTCCTAAAAGAAATGGCCAGTTTCATTTAAGGATATCATCAATAAAGCAGTAGAAATGACTGATTTTATTAAGTCTGACCTCTGAGGTCACATCCTTTTCAGATTCTGCATGACAAAATAGGAAACAGCCATTAACTATTTTAGCTGAACACCACAGAATGATGGTTATCTAAAGGAAAAGCACTTGTGACCAAGTTGTGAGCTGAACTGGCCCTCTCTCCACAGAACATCAGTTTTTTTGGAAAGAATGACTGATTAAAAAAAAGGGGGGGGGTAATGGCACATTTTTTCAAGGATGAAAATAAGTGAGCCTGTCACTTACAGAGAAATAAAAGAAGGCATTTGTTGCAGAAGATGAAATACAAATTTTCAAACAAAAATTAGAATTTTGGAAAACTTACATTAACCATCATGAAATAGACAACTTCCCAATACTTAAAGACATTTCTGAGAACACTACTGGTGGTGTTAACAAATGTGTTTATTTTTTTAACATTGTGTAACACTATGTGCTCCTACTTGGAAAATCTGTAAAAACTAAGTGAGCCAGTATTTTTCAAATGTCCAGTGTCTGATGTTACAATATTATGCAGGAATACATGAGGGGCAAGAAAGACTAATGAATTTTAATGTAACAGTGCGAAAAGTGTGTTGATACAGTTTCAGATTCCACATTGCAACTAACCTGTGAGCACTTGCCGCCTGTCCAGTTCTGGTGGTGGGTCAGAAAATTCACAATTCCCTGAAAACACTAGAGTAAAAGACTACTCCCTTTTCCAACTACGGATCTACGAGCCCAAATTTTCCTCAAAGAGTTCTTCTAAGGCATTACCACAAGAGAATAAATACAGGAGCATACATGAAAACCCAGGTTTTTTCTAATGAAACCAGGCATAAAAGAGATTTACAAAAACATAACAATGCTATTTTTCCTACTCATCCCTTTTGCTTTGGAAGATGTTATTTCTCATAAAAATGTTGTTTATGCTAACATATAGTGTGGGTTTCTTGTCATTTTTAAATGAATTCAAAACATTAAAAAATTTTATTACAGTAATGTTAATAAATAAATAGCCCACATAAACAAAAGCTCTTTGAGGGTTCTTGTAATTTTTAAGAGGGTATCCAGAGACCACAACATCTGAGAGCTGATGTAGTCCTAGACTGTAAACCCCTGTGGGTAGGCTCTCACTCTCTCCTCCTTATACACGCCCACCTCCCAGTGCTCAGGATCCAGAGGAAACACACGACCAATTTTTAGTAAACTGAGCTGGAACAGCTTCAAATAAGCTAGGATATACACTCCACCAATAACTAGTAAAAGTCTGTAAGATGACAACACATTTCTTCAAGTGAATGCAACACTGAAGACAAAGGAGTTCTCATTCATTCAGGTGAGGAGGCCTGAATGCACACACGGAGGCCAAGTGAACGCAGAGACACAGGAGGGGAAACCCCAGCCCAGGCTCAAGGGAGAGGGTGCTGGCGGTGGGAAGGGATCAAGCCAGTGGGGGAAGCATCCTTGAGAAGGGGTGCAAGGGAAAGCTTCTAACAGGAAGAGGTAGACCCACACTTCAGGGAAACGGGCCTGGAGAAGCAGGAGGGGGCGGGGGGGGGTCTGCCTGGGTCACAGGTGGATAAAATGTGGCAAGAAGTGCCCCAACATATGGCAAAAGCTGGAAGAAGAGAAGGACAGTGGGTTGGGCTGAGGCTGCATTTGCCATCAGTCTCAGAAACGTCAGACTGGAGACACACACAAAGGTGAGGTTTCCTACAACCGACAATCCCTTTGCCAGGCACCGGGCCAGACACCAGGGCTGCAAAGAGGTGATGGCAGGGACAGGTTCCTATAACTGGGCCTGGTTCACTGCAGGGGAGGCAGGGGTGAAAGAGAAAGCACAGCCAAAGAGGAAGAGACAATCCTGGGACACCGCTGATGTGCCAGGTTTTAGGTGACACCGTTCTCTAAACCCAGAGTCCCTACAGACAACCTCTCTTGAATCGTGACAGAATGCAACAGGTCATGAACCCTCACTCCAGAAAAATGCACACGCACTCATGAACACAGATAACAATCTGTATTTAATTTCAGGGGAGCATTCAAATTCCCTGAAATCCATTCCAATGGTCTGGGTACAGGTCACAAAAACACAAGCCATGAAACTGTTTAACTCCCACACAGAAAAGAAAGACAGTCAACAGAGAGAAACGGCAATCTACAGAACGGGAGAAGGTTATTTACAAACCGTGGATCTGATTGGGGTTAACATCCAGACCATATGAAGAATTCCTACAACTCAGGGACAGAAATACAATCCAATTTTAAAACAGGCAATGGACTTTAACAGATATTTGTACAAAGAAGGTCTACAAATGACCAACAACCACATGATAGCATGCTTGACATTAGGAATCATCAGATAAATGTGAATCAAAAACCACAATGAAGTGGCACCTCGCACCCACTAGGAATGCCCACTATCATAAAAAAGAAGACAGCAAGTGTTGTGGAAAATAAGAAGGATATGGAGAAACGAACCCTTGTGCACTACTGGTGGGCAGGCGAAATGGAGCAACTGCTGTGGGAAACAGTATGGAGATTGCTCAAACAATTAAAAACAGAACTACCAGATGACCCAGCACTGGTACTTGAGTATATATCCAAAGGAATTCAAAGCAAGATCTCAAAGGGATATTGGCATGCTCATGTTCCCTGCAGCATTACTCACAATAGCCAAGAGGTGGGGGCAACTTAAATGCTCATCAACACATGAACAGAAAGAGAAAATTCAGCATATCCATACAGTGGAATATCAGTCTTCCTTTACAAAGAAGAAAACGCTGGCAAGGATGAGCCTCAAGAGCATTAACGCTAAGTGAAATAGACCTGCCTGATTCAACTTCTAAGAGATGTAAAAAGTAGTCACAATTAGAAACAGAAAGTAGAAAGGTGGTTGCCAGGGGCTGGGGTAGGGGGTGGGGGGAGGTGCTGTTCAGTGGATATAGAGTTTCCATTTGACAAGATAAAAAGTTCCACAGATCAGTTTGCATTAAAAAAAGGACATTGGTAATATCACTGACATGTACATTTAAAAATGGTCACATAAGTTCTTGACCACAATTAAAAACAGAGACAGAAAATACAAGCAGTACGTGTGGGAGGGAGAAGAGAAAGGTGCCCCAGGCTTGGAGGAGCGGTGGCACAGGAGGAAGGCTCCCTCGATGCCAGGCTGGGCCCGCAATGGGCTCACCTGGGCCGGAGGTCTTGATCCTCCCGCTGAGCCTGCTGTCCCCAGCGAGAAGGGAGATGGCCACTCCCTCCTGGGGGCTGGGGGCACAGTGCCCTAAGGAAGCCAGAGTGCGTGAGTGTGTGCAGGGCGGATGCATGGCAGAGCTGGGACCCTGCTGAGTGGCCAGAGTCGGTGCCCACCGCCCTGTCCAGAGGCGAAGCAGGAGGCCAGGTCTGGAGGGGCTGGCCAGGCTCTCCAGCAGCCCACTCCTGGACCCCATAAATCAGTCCTGTTTCTCTGGGACGGCCCCCTCAGGAGGGGCGCTGACCTTCCACCCAGACCTCTGACTTTGAAGGCAGGACAGGAAGGAAGGGAGGGCCCACAACCTTCATGAACTGGACCATAAACGTTGGCAACGGGGTCACAGACAGGACAGGCTGCTCCGACATTTTTAAAGGCTGTGACTTCAAAGTACTGGGTCATCGAGTGAAGGAAGGAGTTATAAGACCATCGGACTATGAAGGAAAAGAGCCCGAGCACATGGTAGAACATGCCAACAATCTGGAAACAGCACTAGTGCCCCCCTCTTTCCAGGAGGAAGAACCCCTCCGCGATGTCTGTTGTGACCACACTGTCAGCGGAGGGACTGCAGAGACCTGCCCTACGCAGAGGAGGTGGGGCCGGATTCCGGCTCCGCGAGTCAGGGTCGGGGGAGAAGCGCAGCCCGGGCGCACTCACCGCGATGCACGGGCGCACTCACCGCGATGCACGGGCGCACTCACCGCGATGCACGGGCGCACTCACCGCGATGCACTGCCGCATGATGCAGCTCTGCTTCATCCGCCCGGGGCCCCCGAACTTCTTCATGTCCTTGCAGAAGTGGCACTCGCCGCACTCCGTCCGCAGGCAGGCCTCGCACTTGCGGCATCGCGTCCGGCGCCGGCGAGCTCCCGCCGTGGTCCGGTTGGCGGCCAACTTCACCGCGGAGGCCGGACCCAGCTTCCCCTTGGGCCGACCTACCGCCCGGTTCTGCGGGAAAAGACACGGGCGACTCAGTGAGACCGGGGTTTAGGCGGTAAAGTGTGCCCCACCCCCCAAAGACATACTCCCATGTCCCACTCCCAAAGTCCCAACTCCACGGCCCGAGAATGTGATCTCATTTGGAAATAGGGTCTTTATAGAGGAAATCACTAAAATAAGGTCCTTGGGGGGACGCTGCTCCAGTAGGACTGGTGTCCTTCTGAAAGGGGGAACGTGGAGGCAGGCAGAGAGATCTTATGTGAAGATGCAGACAGACGACTGGAGGGCTGTCGCTGTCTCCAAGCCAAGAAATGTCGAGAAAGCCAGAAGACGCCAGAAGCTGGAAGAGGCAAGGGTCCTCGCCTAGAACCTTCAGAGAAAGCAGGGCCCTTGACTTCCAACTTCCAGGCTCCAGAGGGGGTCCGTTGTTTGGTGCTTCATTATGGCAGGCCCAGAAAACTGCCGGGGACATCCCCTGCTTCTGAGGGCAGCTCAAGAGCCTCCCGTGGCCCCCGCGCCTCAGGCCAGGCTCCTCAGGCTACCTGTGTCTCCACCGGGAGGCCACACAACCCGCCTCTGTTCTCTCTGCCAGGAACACCGCCCCCTCCGCACACCGCTCAGCTAAGGCCAGCTCCTGCTGCAGGGCCCCGTTTACATACCGCCTTCTCCTGGCTGCCCTCCCTGACTGCCTGCTCTGGCCGTCACGGTGTAACTACCCATCCTCCTGTGAGAGTCTTCTCTTGGAGACAAGAGCTCAGGAGGCAGTTATAGAGGGTGCTTGTCATCACTGTCCCTCAACTAGATGGCTGACACTTAACATGTGCCCAATAAACCAGACCCCAGGAGGAGACCAGAACCCTAAGGAACTGATTTCTGGGACCTTCTCCACATGGGCTCCAAATCCTATCAGAGAAACAGCTGAACAGAAAGTGGCACTAAATGCTGAACAAGGCACGAGCCAGCCACACGTCCTGCTCTGAGACCCTTACGACCTGGCCACCAGCCCCAGAGCCTCTTGCAAACCATGATCAGAAGCCAGCTGCCGGGACACTGTCCACCCGGGATCAGATTTGGGAAGAACCTTGATGGCAGGGAGAGTTTGTCCAGCCTGGGGCAGCTTTCTGTTTGCTGAAAATTGGTTCATCCCTCAGTCAGGAAGACACACTCTCTTCCCAAAACTATGTGATCTAATTGGCATCGAATGCTTCAAGCCCTTCTTAGCCGGCTTCAGTCCATCTTGGCCTTTTCATTTTAGCTGCTTGCCAAACTTGGATCCCTCGGCAAAATCCTGCCCCGCGCCAGCTCCCAGGCCCAGAAGTGTAGTTACGATGTACCACAGTGCAGAGAAGGTCTTCCTTCCAGGGATGCCCCCCGACACACACAACACACACTCACAGTCCCCTCCCCCAGAACTACAGGGGCTGCTGAGAAACTTACAACCACATCAGTCCACGTTTCTGAGAATCACGCCTCACTCCCACCATCTTTTCTGCATCTTGATCCCTCTCAACTTGCTCTCAGCTCCAGAGGGAAGGAGAGCCGGCTCCGCAGGTCCCTGTGTCCTCACTGTCCCCTGCCTGCTAAACCATGCCAGTGTCACCGGGCGGGCTAAGGGGCTGCCCCAACGCAAGTCACTCCTCCTGCAAGCTGTGGAGGGGCTCCTCGCGCACCACTCACAGCCCAGGGAGGTCTCGGGGCGGGGGTGGCCCGTCATTCACATGGGCAATTCCACAGCCCTGGCAGGCACCTTCAGAGGGTATGTCAGCCTATGCATATCCTGTCAATTCAGGTCAGGTCTTGCTGCCAGACGAGTAGTGAAAAAATAAAAAAGATCAGTTTTCAGAATCTCTAGATTTGAGAACAGCACGTAAGGGACCATGGACCTGAACACTAAGCAGTAAGCAGCCATGACAGGGATGGTGACCACAGTACAAGTGGGTACCTGCTGGGGGCCTGTTGTCCTGCTCATCATTTCACATAGGGTATCACCTACTTTCCCAATAGTAACCCTGTGGGAGATGAGGAAACTGGAGCTAGAGGGTGAGTGACCTGCCCAAGGCAGGATGTGCGAGCCCTGCAAGTGTGTGTAAATACTATAAACCACAGTGAGGCGCCGGCCGAGTGGGACCAGCACCCCCAGACCCACGGGAACTGACCACATGCCCTGGAAGGGGCCCACAGCTCGACGCCCTTAGTAGAATGGAGGCCAACACGAGGTGCAGAGAAGGACGTCAATTTCCAGAGAAATGGAGACCAGGAGGGTTTCTCCCTCTCTTTACAGCCCAGAAGAGTCTCTGGTAAAAAGCCTGAGTCCGGTTAGCAACTCACTCCTCAAATCCCTGAAACGTGGGAGATTCAGAGCCATGAGTCAGGTACAGAGAAGAGAGAACATGGTCCAGTCCCACAGACAGAACCAAGGCCAAGTGCTCGCATGCTGACCCTGGAGGAGGAGAGTCTAAGGACTTAGCTTCTTTGGTGAAGGGAAGAAATCCCAGGTGTCCAAAACTGGCTTCTGCCTCCCACTCAGGAGCATCAGGTATAAACAGCCGCTGAGCGCCCCTGGCCTCACTGGCCACTCGGAAGTAAGAGAGTTGGGTCAATTCGGCCAGTCATAAAGCTCATACCTGATTGTGAAATAAGCCCACTTTCCTTTGCTTCCCACAGTTCATTTTCATCTGAAGAAGCACTTTCCCAGGCTATGGGAAAACCAAATCTGCCTGGATCTCGATGGCAGCTGAGACATCCTGGAAAATGACAAGAGTCAACGGCGGACAGGGCCTCAAAGGAAGAGGTGTAAGCCTGGCTGCTTATAGAGACCTTGATCCAGGCCCCCTTTGCCAGGCCGCCAGACAACCAGAGAAGCTGCTGCTGCCTGCAGCTTCGTAGGCCAGCGGGAGTCAACTGCTCGGGAGTCAACTGAGCAACACCTGAAATGCAGGAGCCTCATAAAGACCGCTGATCAACAGGTAAGATCAGAAGGTCCCTATTAGGGAAGGTGACGGTTCTGTCCTAACCTCTTTTGGGTGACATCTAAACATTCCCAAACTTTTTTTAGTCCCAAACTTTGGTGTCCGACTTTTTGTGACCCTGTGGACTGTAGCCCGCTAGGCTCTTCTGTCCATGGGATTTCCCAGGCAAGAATACTGGAATGGCTTGCCATTCCCTTCTCCAGGGATCTTCCTAACTCAGGGATCAAACCCGGGTCTCCTGCATTCGAGTCGAATTCTTTATGACCTGAGCCGCCAGGGAAGCCCAGACCGATACTCCTCTCTACTCTATCCTACCTGTACCTCTATTCAAATAACCCAGGATGTTCCTTTGTTAATTTCAGCCTGAAGTGTTCTTCTCAGCAAAAGGGAATGGTAGCAACCACTGACTTTCACATACAAACCAGCCTCCCAAACCCCAAGGTTTGTTGACTTTATCAGCCCAGGACTCATAGTCTCAGCTCCATCTGGTTAGGAAAATTGAACCCACACAAATCTTAAGTATTTCAACACTTTATCCCCATCAACATCTCATAAGTATCATCCTTAAAAGGAATGTTACCGATAAAAGTTTTAAATAATGAAATTTTAAAAAAGCAATACTACTGAAGTAGTTCATTCATTCCACAAACATTAACTGAGTGCCTCCTATCAGATCCTATTCTCCAGAATATTCATGGGCAGAACCTTCAACCCCTCATCTCTAACATACTGGGATTAACATTGTTTGGATTAACCTGAATTAATAAAAAAACATACCACATTCATGGACTGAAAGACAATACTGTTAAGATGGCAGTACTCCCTAAAGTGGTCTACAGATTCGTGCAACCCCTATGAAAATCACAGCCGGTTCATCTGTAGAGACTGAAAAGCTGATTCTAAAATTCATGTGGAAGGACTTCCTTGGTGGTTCAGCAGTTAGCACTCCACACTTCCAGTGCAAGGGGCAGGTTGGATCCCAGATCCCACAAGCTATACTTCATGGCCCCCAAAAAAAATTCACATAGAAATGCAAAGAACCTGAAAAACCAAAACAATCTTGAAAATGAAGAACAAAGTTGGAAGACTTACACTTCCTAATTTCAAAACTTACTTCGAAACTACAGTAACCAAAACAGTGTGGTACTGGCATAAGGACAGATATACAGATCATTGCACCAGAACTGAGAATTCAGAAATAAAGCCCCATAAATACAATATTTATGACCAACTGATTTTTGACACGTGTGTCAAGACAATTCAGCAGGGAAAAGAACAGTCTTTCTGACAAATGGTGTGGGAATAATTGGATACCCACATGCAAAAGGATGACGTTGGACCTTTACATCACACTACATACAAAAATTAACCCAAAATGGATAGAGGACCTTAATGTAAGAGCTAAAACCATAAAACTCTTAGAAGAAAAAATAAGGATAAATCTTCATGACCTTGGGTGAGGCAATGAGTTTTTGAATATGATGCCAAAAGCACAGGTGACAAAAGAAGATAAAACTGGATTTCAAAATTTTAAATTTATGTGCTTAAAAGGGCACTATCAAAGATTTTCCAGGTAGTCTAGTGGCTAAGACTTCACTCTCCCAATGCAGGGTTCTGGGGTTCGATCCCTGGTCAGGAAACTAGATCCCATGTGCTACAACTAATACGTGGTGCAGTCAAAAAAAAAAAAAGGGCACTATCAAGTAAGAAGTACACAGAGTGGGAGAAATTATTTGCAAAGTATACATCTCTTAAGGGGCCAGTATCCAGAAGGTATAAAACAGCAACAACAGAAAGACAAATATCTCGGGATTTCCCTGGTGGACCAATGGTTAAGACTCTGCGCTCCCAACCCAGGGGAGCCGAGTTCGACTCTTGGTCAGGGACCTAGATACTCCGTGTTGCAACTAAAAGCCCAAGTCCCATAACTAAAGATCCCGGACATAGCAATGAAGGTCCTGCATGCTGCAACTAAGACCTGGAGCAACCAAAAAAAAAACCCAACAAATATCTCAATTTTAAAAGCGGCAAAGGATTTAT